CAGGATTGACCTCGTTCCTGGTGCGGCTCCGATAGCCAAGGCACCGTATCGGTTGGCTCCTCCCGAGATGCAGGAGTTGTCTACGCAGCTGCAGGAGCTGCTAGACAAGAGATTTATTCGTCCGAGTAGTTCACCCTGGGGAGCCCCGATCCTGTTTGTGAAGAAGAAGGATGGGTCGCTCCGGATGTGCATAGATTATCGGGAGCTGAATAAGGTAACGGTGAAGAACCGTTACCCACTCCCGAGGATTGATGATCTCTTTGACCAGCTTTAGGGAGTGTCTTGGTTTTCCAAGATCGATTTGCATTCGGGATACCATCAGATGAGGGTCAACGAGGAGGATACGCAGAAGACCGAGTTTCGTACGCGCTATGGCCATTATGAGTTCGTGGTGATGCCGTTTGGGCTCACCAATGCTCCTGCCGCGTTCATGGACCTCATGAACCGCGTATGCAGACCGATACTGGATCGGTCTATGATAGTCTTTATCGATGACATCTTGGTTTATTCCAAGACTCAGGAGGAGCATGAGGAACATGTGAGGGAGGTGTTGGAGACCCTGAGGAGGGAGAGCTTGTATGCCAAGTTCTCCAAGTGTGAGTTCTGGTTGCGCGAGGTGCAATTTCTTGGACACCTCGTCAACCAGAACGGGATTTTGGTCGATCCGGCCAAGGTCGAGGCCGTGATGAGATGGGAGGTTCCGAAGTCTCCATCTGAGATTCGGAGTTTCCTGGGATTAGCAGGCTACTATCGGAGATTTATTCAGGATTTATCCAAGATAGCCGTACTCCTGACGCGGCTGACGAAGAAAGTCGTGGTCTTTCGGTGGGGACCCGAGCAGCAGGCTGCATTTGAGACACTGAGATAGAGATTGTGCGAGGCGCAGATCTTAGCCCTGCCAGAGGGCGTAGATGATTTTGTGGTTTATTGTGATGCGTCCATTTCAGGGTTGGGCGCGGTATTGATGCAGAGGGGGCATGTCATTGCCTACGCCTCGAGGCAGCTCAAGCCTCACGAGGCGAACTACCCGACGCATGATTTGGAGTTGGGGGCGGTGGTTTTTGCCCTCAAGATTTGGCGACATTATCTCTACGGGGTTCGATGTACCATTTATACGGACCACAAGAGTTTGAGGTACCTCATGGATCAGCTGAATTTGAACATGAGGCAGCGTCGGTGGTTAGACGTGGTGAAGGATTATGATTGCGAGATCCTCTACCACCCGGGGAAGGCCAATGTGGTGGCCGATACGCTTAGCCGCAAGGCGGCGCCGATCAGGGACGTATGCATGAGGATGACCGTGGTGACTCCCCTGTTGGAGCGAATTCGGGAGGCTCAATAGGAGGCCATCAAGGAGGAGCATCGGAAGAGCGAGTGTGTGGTGGGTCAGGTTTCCTCCTTTGATTATGATAGCCGAGGACTATTGACACTACACCGTAGGGTGTGGGTGCCGTATCACGGAGGCGTGCGCCAGATTTTGATGGAGGAGGTGCACAAGTCCCGATTCTCTATTCATCCCGGGGCGACGAAGATGTATAGGGATCTTCGTCTAGATTATTGGTGGCCCTGCATGAAGCGGGATGTGGCATGGTACGTTGAATGGTGCTTGACCTGCAGGAAGGTCAAGGCCGAACATCAGAGACCGCATGGCAAGATGCAGCCGTTGGATATTCCACTGTGGAAATGGGAAGATATCACAATGGATTTTATCACGAAGCTTCCCAGGACCGCGCGTGGAGTGGATTCGATTTAGGTCATCGTGGATCGATTGACCAAGAGTGCTCACTTTATCCCGATTCAGGAGAGCATATCGGCCGAGAAATTGGCCGACATCTATATCAGGGAGATCGTGGCGCGACACGGGGTGCCAGTATCGGTTATCTCGGATAGGGATGTGCGTTTTACTTCCAGATTTTGGAAGAGATTTCATGACGATTTGGGCACTCGTTTGCATTTTAGCACCGCCTTTCACCCGCAGACGGATGGTCAGAGCGAGCGGACCATCCAGACCTTGGAGGATATGTTGCGGGCGTGCGTGTTGGACTTCGGTGGTAGCTGGGATACCTATCTTCCCTTGGCAGAGTTCTCCTACAACAACAACTACCACGCGAGTATCGACCGCCATCCATTCGAGATGTTGTATGGACGGAGGTGCAGGACCCCGATATGCTGGGGTGAAGTTGGCCAGAGAGTTATGGGGAGCACCGAAGTGGTGCTCAAGACGACCGAGAGGATCCAGCAGGTTCAGAGCAGGCTTCAGACTGCTCAGAGTCGACAGAAGAGTTACGTCGACAAGCGTCGATCCGACTTGGAGTTACAAGTCGGGGATATGGTTCTCCTGAAGGTGTCGCCTTGGAAAGGCGTCATTCGATTCAGGAAGCAGGGCAAGTTGGGCCCGAGATTCATCGGACCGTTCAGGGTTGTAGCCCGGGTGGGCAAGGTGGCGTATAGGCTGGATCTGCCAGCCGAGCTCAGCCAGATCCACAACACTTTCCATGTTTCTCAGCTGCGGAAGTGCCTAGTGGACGATTCAGCGGTGGTGCCGCTAGAGGATATACAGGTTGATGACAGCCTGAATTACATTGAGCGCCCAGTCGCAATCCTCGACAGGAAGTTGAGGGATTTGAGGAGCAAGAAGGTGGAGTTAGTGAAGGTGCAATGGCAGCACCGCAAGGGTTCGGAATGGACTTGGGAGCCGATGGACGAGATGATGGAGCATTACCCCGAGCTGTTTCAGAGTCGAGCAGCAAACTTCGAGGACGAAGTCTAAAATAAGTGGGGGAGATTTGTAGCACCTGGTTCCTGGTACGTAAATCTTATTTGGGTATTCTCTTTTCTTTTAGCCTTGGACTCGGCGAGTCATAGGTCCGACTCGCCGAGTAGATACGGGACCCGGGACACGTTTAAGTTGGCGACTCGGCGAGTCACCGCTGTTGGATGAAACCCTAAGTTTCAGGGGTTTGCACCCTATTTAAACACCATATCCACCCCAGGCTAGCCCCCATTCACCCTCAGAGCTCCCAACCCTCGTTCTAAGCTTGTTTATAGATAGTTTGAAGAAATTGTTGTGTGTTCTTGAAGGTTTTGAGGCAAAAGGGGAGTAGATCAAGAGGAAGGGAAGGGATCCGAGCATCTTTGTGCTCTCTCAGCAGTTCCTTTGAGGTATAACCCGTTTTCCCCTTCTTTCTATGCTTATTACTTCATTTAAGTCATTCTTGAGCCAATCCCCAAGCTTGTATGTGCAATATAAGTCGTAATAAGTTGATTGGCCTTTAGATCTAGGCAAGATTGAGCTCCAGGAGCTCAGATCTGTTACCTTTATGGACCCATGTTGCTTGTTCACCCTAGATCTACCCTTTTGAGGCATTTTGAGCCCTAAATCCCTCATTGGTGAGTATCTACACGTAAAGTTGGAAACTTTACGTGTCATTCATGCTCTAGGAACCCAGATCTGTAAATGGCATGGATTGGACTCGAGCAAAATCACGTATATAGTGAATGCATGGCGACGACTCGGCGAGTCTGCTCGCGAGTCTCCGAGTTGTCCCCATTTCGTTGTGTCGAGTTGGTGTAGTGAGTCACGGGGTGTGACTCAGTGAGTTGGAAGCCAAACTCATCCATGGAGGAACTCGACGAGTCCATGCCCTGACTTGGCGAGTTCAAGGCAATATCCTTAGATCAAGAATAGACTCGGCGAGTTGTTCATACAACTCGGCGAGTCACAACATAAAGTGTTCTTCGGATGAAGATGAACTCGACGAGTTGTTCATACAACTCGGCGAGTAGGATGAAGGACTTGAACCTCAATTAAGAAGAAGAACTCGTCGAGGCAACGCCTAACTCGACGAGTAGGGTCGAGATCCAGGACAGTCGTTTGGATAGGGACTCGGCGAGTTGGAGAGCCAACTCGGCGAGTCGGGTCAACTGAAGTTGACTTTGACTTTGACTTATGACATGATCAGGGGTAAAATGGTCATTTTACCCAATGGACAGTTAGCAGTGATTGACTGAGTATGTTGTGGGATTTGCAGCCGGAGGATTTCCGGAGCAGCAGTAGGCAGTCAGTTCTCGACCAGATTAGCAGCCATTTCGAGGTGAGTTTTCTTTCAGTAGAAACGGGTCTAAGGCACCAAGGCCGACTTGTGTAGACGAGATGTTAGTACTAGAGTGTGGGCCAAGCCCGTATCTCTGGGTTTAGTCAAGTATGATATATGTGTCAACATGATAGAGTTGCTTATGCTTGTTGTCTGTGTGATACTTGTATATTATGGGTTAGCGGTTGAGTGTGGGCAGGGCCCATATCTCTCCGAGGTTGGAGTGTGGGTTGGGCCCGTATCTCCCAGATAGTAGAGTGTGGCCGATGCCCGTATCTCCCGGCTAGCGAAGTGTGGATAGGGCCCGTATCTTCACAAGTATGGGCGAGGCTCGTATCTCCCGGCTAGCAAAGTGTGGGCAGGGCCCGTATCTTCCCGAGTGTGGGCGAGGCCCGTAACTCCTAGCTGAACGTTGTTTGTTATATGCTTGCATGGTATGAGGTATTATGGGGGAACTCACTAAGCTTCGTGCTTACAGTTTTCAGTTTTGGTTTCAGGTACCTCCTCAACTAAGGGAAAGGAGCCGGCGCGGTAGCAAGATGTCACACAACACACACTCTCTTGGTTCCGCAGTTACGAGTTTATTCTGGGATTGATACTCTGATATTTTGATCGATCGAATGTTGTGGTTTTTTATTTGGTTTTCGATGTGAAGTGGTTCAACTAAACAATGTTTTAATTGTTAACGTTTTCTATGTAATGTTTTATAAACGAAATTTTTGGACGTGAAATTTTGGGTCGTTACACGTATGTTATACGGGTTTGATAAAACAAAAAATTAAATATAAAAGTTTAAACAAAAAATTATTTAAATTTGAATTTTTTTTTTTTGGAACCGGCGGAATTCATTAAAAGCACGGCCTAAAGGAAAAAGACCGGGCACAAAAGAAAAAACAAAAACAAAAATTACAAAATGTCAAAAGGGGAACAAACCCAACAATCCCATCTACAATTTCCAAAATTACCCCTATATTTCAGCCAACTAAAAACCATAGAAATCACATTATCCGCCAACTTTGAAGAGTTCACTTGGATTTTGTTAAACCATACATCGTTCCTTGCTTTCCACATACACCATAGAAACCCATAGCAGATAGCAATAAATATATTCCTTTTTTTTGGACAGTTCCCCCATGAGGCGGCAAAATTAACAAGATCTGAAATCGAAAGGAACCTTTGAATAGAAATGTCACACCAATTGAAAATCCATCTTAGAGAGTCAAAGGCAATCGGACAGTCCAAGAGAATATGATCCGCAGTGTCCATACCATTAAAGCACATTTGACAGGAAGTAGAAGACATGTTGATACCTCTCTTGGAAAGAGCTACTGTAGTAGGAATACGCCCCATACAAGCCCTCCAAACAAAGCTAATGCACTTGATAGGAACTAAGTGAAGCCAAACCATGGGATTATTTATCGGGGCAGTCAATTTACTGTCAATGAGGGCTCTAAGATCGCAAACACGGAAAAAACCATCATCAGATAACCTTGATCTCCAAGTGTCGGGCCCATTGGATCTAACAACCATCCTTGTAACATCCAAAATAGATTCCAATTCCAACAGCTCCTGAGAATTGTTGGGTTTCCGCTTCCAAGCCCACGAGAAAACGCCATTCACCCATCTGTCTCCTAAAAGGCAACTTTTCCTCTTGTCTAACGCATATAAAGAAGGGAATTTCACTGCCAAAGTCTCATTCTTTAGCCAATCATCTAGCCAAAACAAAATTTTCTTCCCGTTCCCCACCTGAAACTCAAAAATATCTGTGACATCAATATCAATATTGCCAAGTGTCGAGAAGACATTGACAATACTACTCCAAGTGCCCGGGAGAGATTTTTTAGCCCAAGAGTGGATAGGTTTCCTTTCACATCTATGAATACTACTAATCACTCGCCTCTAAAGAGAGTCATTTTCCGTTTTAAACCTCCATATCCATTTTGTCAGGAGGGCCCAGTTAAGCGAGGCCAAGGATCCGACCCCGAGACCACCGAACGATTTTGACCCAAGCACCACCTTCCAAGCGACCCAATTGATTTTTTGTTTTTCTTCACTTCCTCCCCATAAGAACCGTCTTCTCAGTTTCTCGAGGTTATCAATAATGGAAATCGGAGCTTTAAAAATGGAAAAATAAAAAAGAGGGAGCTTTAACCAAAGTTAGGCGACCGCCAAAGGATAAAGTTTTAGCTTTCCATAGAGAAAGTTTATTTTGAACACGATCAATGACGGGTTGCCAGCTCCTTTTTTGGGACATATTTGCTCCGACCGGGACTCCAAGATATTTAAAAAGAAGAGAGGCTGCCTCGCAACCGAGAATTCTAACGCAACTAGCAATTTCATTCTCTGACACTCCAATGCCATAAACTTTGGATTTGTGAAAATTAACTTTGAGCCCCGACGATGCATGAAAGCATCTCAAAATTCTTGCCAAGTTTATGAAGTTGAAGCTTTAGATTTGAAATTTAAAATTTAAAATTTGAATATAAAAATGAAACATATTAAATATTATATGAGTACTAATATTATAATTTATTGGTTATTTTAATTAATGCAATTTAATTGAGGTGTAAATATGATATGTTAATTAAGAAAAGATACAAAAATGAGAAAATGACAAATGAAAAAAACATTTAATCAAAGATACCAAAAAGTGACAACTGTCTAAATTAATGAGATAGTGACATATGGTAAAATTATTTTACATATTTTTTGAAATTTAAAAAGTAAAATAGCTACTAACTCAACTCATGTACACCCTGTTATCCAATACATCTACATGAATCGTTCATGGAATTAATTTGGGAATCAAATAATATTTTTTTATTTCTACTCACAATTCTGAAACTCTAAATCAGTCATATTCATTGAGAAATCCTAAGTCGTCCGTTACGCGGCTTCTCCTTCTTCCCGAACTACCATCCTACCAGCAGCATCTCTTCTATGTTTATCTTACTCGTCTTCCGTATCCGGTATCCCTATGTCACCATAACCCTTCGTTACACACCATTCACTGGAAATCCTATTATCCTAACCTTAAGTTACCTCCACCATCGCCCACTCTCTCTTGCCCCTCTTCTACCTTCTGTTACGACGACAAGCCCTAACAGTCTCCACAACGCTAACCGTCACCACCAGCGAAGAGGTGATAAAAGAAGGTATTACGAAGAATGGAGTTGGTCTTTGATGTAAACGACGATGAAATCCCTCACCTTTCTTCCTGAATCCCAATTCTTCACTTCAAGCCTCCGTCAGTGTGTGTATATGTGTTTGATAAATGATAATCATTAACACCGCCATCATCTTCAACTGCTCCCGATTTTGAATTGAAAATCATAACCAATCGCAGGGGACCATTTGGAGTTGGAAATCCAGGTCAGGTGGTGATGGTGAAATTAGCGAATTTCAAGAAAGAATTCGTTTCTGTAAGTCCTTTATACGTCTCTCTCCTTTTTCAATTTTGATTCTTATGAGTTGCTCCCATGTTCTCTGTGTTCGTTTTCACTTTTTTTTTTTTTTCCAGCTTTTCTCATACACTCGTGGGCGTGGCTACCATGTGAACGTCATATATATTAGATCAAAATTGTCAAATTATGATCGATATAAGAATGTGTTGTGCGTTTGCAGTTTCAGGTGGTTGTGAGTGTATGGATTTGTAGTTTCAGGTGGTTGAGTGTATGTGCTGCAGCAGGTGATGGGAAATAATCAAAATATGGAGGACGCGACTTTCTTTGTGGAGTTTGGTAGGTTCACATTCAACCACTTTTTATGAACTGTCCAAGAAGCCACTTGTGGATGGTGTGTCGGTGTCATGGTTGGTGGATGGATGCACAACGGACCTTAGTAGTTGCAGAGACTATCACCGGAGGCATAGGGTTTGTGAAGCTCATTCCAAGACACCAGTTGTTGCCATAGCTGGCAAACACCAAAGGTTTTGCCAGCAGTGCAGTAGGTACTCCCTCCATAACCCTTTTGTTTGCTTTAACAGTTTATGCAATCATAACGGGTTAAACACTTAATCTGGACAGCTATCTTAATGACCTGGCTTAATGGTTTAAAGCCAAACAGATGATGCTTTTCTTGGGCCAAAATTCTGAATGGTGATTGTGTGTAATATACAATCCAAACCCATCAATTGATAATTGGATTGGAGTATTCTCCCCTGCCCATTTCTGGTTCATAGTCGATTCCACAAGTAGCACCCATATCTTACTATCCTTTTTAAAGTTTGAATTTTATGAGCAAACTTTATATTCCAAGCTATTTGGCAACTGTATAACATAGTTTAGGAAAATTACGTCACTTGTATTCAGATGTCTAAAAGTACCCTTTCAAGTTCCACAAATGAATTCAATATTTGTAACATTAGAAAATGGGTATATGAGCAACTTTAACTTGAAAATTCCCTAAAATTGATAATTGTTGCAGTTTTAGTGGGACATAAGAAAAAGATAAATAAGCTATCTAACTTGAGAATTGCCTGAAATGAAAAAATATTTTGGGATCCTTTAAACTCCATGTTTGATGAATTTTATCATTCGTAGTGGAGGGTAGAAGATCTTCAATTTCATTCTTCCTTTATATTAAAAGAATAGAATAATCCTATATGCAATGCATGAGACAATTCCATTCCATATCTTCCAAATGAGTGACATCAGATTCTAATTCATTTTAAAAACATTCTACAAACCAAACACTTCTTTATTGATGCTTTGTATCTGTCTTTTATTTTGTAGCGCCGGTGGTGTTCATTTTCTTTATGCAGGAAGAACAACGGGTGATTGAACTAAAACTAATAATTAGACATCAAGAAATTCAAGATGTTAATAGGGCAAGAGAGAAGCTTCTCAAGCAGTATAGTTGAACTAAATGAGGCTGAATGCTTCTCTATTACTTTCTCAAAACTCAAGTAGCAGCCACTATGTCTGAAGGTAAATCTTTTTGATTATAAAAGTTATTTTTCTTCATTAATGCTGAAAAATGAATATGGAACTTTTCCTTTTATTTTTGCAAAATTCCAAGTTAAACTCGACTTAATTGCCTACTTTCATGTATCTAGATAATTTGTTCCTTTTTTTCAGGGTTAAAATTAGCGAATAGTTATAGATAATCCGACATGATTATTGTTTTATTTTACTCCAAGCTTGAAATATTTACATTTATGCAATTTGGAAGTTCCATATATTCAAGTAAGTTTATCAAGTATAGACTCTTTCAAAGTCCACCATGGATATAATTTTGGCCAGCTGGCATTGTCGGGTGTGTGGAGATTCAATTCTCACCTGAAACCTGGAATATCACCAAAAATATAGAAGAAAAACATTAACTGAATAATATTAGCAACACAAAAAATGTAATAGAACTTTCTACAAATCATCTTTTAATTTTAGCATTTTTAATCTTTCTTTTCTTATTAAAGCACTGTACTGTGGAAGTACAATGCTATAGTTGCATATGTTTTCAAAGTATAATGTCTGTGTGTGAACGTGTGTCTATGTGTGTATTTATAGCATCATACTTTGCATTTTTTTTCCTGTTAGTATGGAGAAAAGTAATATTTTGTGGGTATTTTGCAGGTTAATCTGCTCAAAGCAACTTGAAAAGTAGGCTTGTGTCTGCTTATTGAACCTGTAATAGTAAATTTTTTTTTTTTTTTTTTTTTGTGTATGTAACTTGAAATATGCTAACACTTTCATGTTCAAAGAAGTATTAACATGTAATAGTAAGGTTTTTTTTTTTTTTTTTTTTTTTTTTGTATGCAACTTGAAATATGCTAACACTTTCATGTTTAAAGAATCACCTAGGCCCTGCACTAAAAAATGATTAATATTTTTGTTTAACGAAGACATTGTTTATTTTTTATTCTTTCACCACTATAAAAATAGGATAAAATCATTCCTACATGTCTAAATCAACAAAATTTAACTTATTTGAAAGCCTTTAAGAGTAAACATTGCTTTAAAATTCCAAAATCACCCATACAAAAGAGTAAACATTTGTTTTATGATTTTTGGTACAAATTCAAACGTTGGAGGGAATTCCCACATGTAGATGCACACGATAATGAAAAAACAAAACAAAAGGAAACTTTCTAATGTATACAAAAACCTTTTGGTTTTTTCATTTTGTTATACTTTTAGCAAGAGAGAAACAAATGATTCCATGATGTTCTTTTAAGTTTCAAGGGATTGGACACTTGGTAGTTAGTTAAATATATGGAATTTAATGGGTATATTTATACAAAAAGTAAAATGATTTGTTTTGAAAAATGGTATTTTTATATTTACTTTTTTTTAAACAATTTGTTAAACATAATATATAATAAAATAATTTATTTTATTTTAACTTATCACAGCATCATTTTTTATTGACCTTTTTCTTTCTTGAGGTATATATCATTATTTATTTTGTTTTTAAGTAATAAATAGATTGTCTTTAGTAATATATATATATATATATATATATATATATATATATATATATATATATATATATATATATATATATATATATATGATCAAATGAGAACACCTAAAAGGTTGAGAACGTGAGAACAGATCTAGACCATCTAAATACTAAGATCAATGGTTAATATTAAATGGGTGATTTATGTAAAAATCTAAAACTATTGGCATTTATGTGTAACTTTTAAATGGTAAGAAGGGTATTATAGGAATTGTAACTTTGCCTATTTCCTATAATTTCTCACCGTCTCACCAATTACCTTTCTAATTCTCGTATCTATATCCTCTCTATATATCTCTCTCTAGGGTTTCATAAGACGCATCGACTGAACAACCGACACTGACTCCCCATTTCCCCTTTATACGCATTGTCGCTTCCATCACCAAAGATCCCATCGGCTTGACGACTTCTACTCATCGGCTGACGGCGACATCTACTCACCAGCGCAAGGCAGCAAATAGTGGTAGACCCCGATGATGACGTTCGTTCTTCATCGTCATCGTCACATTCAGAGTGAGACTTACAGCCGACATCTCTTTTTCTTAACCTTGTCGGCAATTTGGTGAACTCGACTGCTACTCATCGGTGGTAGCAAGCAGTGATACACTACTGGATTTTGATCATCCACTCCGGAGCAGCAGGGTAGTGACGAAGTACTCTGAATCAGGTAACATTATGTTTTTTTCCTTGCAAATGCTGTTCGAAATCCACCTCTTCTCTTGATTGGAGCCTTACAATGCTACATATTGTTCGAATTTGTACATGTGTAGTTTTTTTTCTTGCAAAATCAATTGGAAAGCCAAATGTTATGCTGATTTGAACCTCTTCTGCTTTTTATTTTATTGTATGCACCAAAGATTCACAATTCTTTTGCTTGAAAATGTTTCTCAGGTATGGTACTTTATGTTGGATTAGTGTCTAAGTCCATAACTATTTTGGTATGTACTTGACCCGATGGTGCATGGTCCTTTTGGGTTGCCTTCACCAAAGCAACTTGATTGGAGAAATGAATAAAGAGAGAGAGGATAATATGATTTATTAATATAAGAATAATATATTAAAGGAGAAATCATATTTGTTTAATTAATATTGGTCAATAATTAATTAAGAATTAGTTTTGTGATCAAATGTAATTAATTAAACTAGAGGGGCTGATTTGTAATTATGTGATAGTTACAAAATAAGGTAAGGATTGTCTTATTTATATGGTGGACGAATTTAAGGTTGGAAAGCCTTAGAATTCGAGTATGATAAGGATTCAAGGATTATCTTATTGGTTGCTTAATGAATAATCAACTAGATAAGGATAATGACTGAAACCCTATCTCTACACCTATATAAACACCCCTAGGGTCATGAATTCGTGTATCCCTTCCCAAGAGGTCCTAGATACGAATTCTAACCTCTCACTTCTCTCTTTATACCTTCTCCATTTGCTTATGGTGTTTGTAAGCCATTAGAGGAGTGACACTTGTGACTCTAAGCATTCCAAAGTCAATACAAGGAGATTTGGGATTGTTATTGCTACATAACAATCAAGGTAACACTATAAACTTATTCTCATGTTAATATGATTATATGTATGCTAGAATTAGGGTTTGTAGTCTTGGATTCAAAGCATGTACAATAGAGAAACCTAGATCCAAGCATTAGGGTTTGTATGAGCACATAGGATGTCTTATGACCAAAACCCATCAGTGGTATCAGAGCCTTGATTGGTTTCAATTGTATTGATGCATTATATGTTTGAAAAATTCGATTTTTTGGCTTCTAGAGGCTGGACTCGCCGAGTCCATGGCTGAACTCGTCGAGTCCATGCAGACTCGACGAGTTCATGCCTGACTCGACGAGTCAACTCGTCAGATAATGTTTATCTCGGGATTTCTTGCTGTTTTTACATATGGATAGTTACCTTATCATGTTAGATCAATATAAATCCGATTTTATGATATATATGACTATATTCTTGATCAAATTAAAGATAATTATCAATTAATAAGATAATTGTTTCCTTATAAGATAATTGATTAATTATTTTGCAAGAAATCATTAAATAAATCAAATATGGATAATTATGTGATTAAATGTTAATTTAAAATTATTTGTTATTTGATCCTTGTTGTTATGAAAGGTTTCATATTTCCCCTTTAGGTTTTATAGTTTAAATTTGAACCCAAAAGTCTTGGAGTTTTGAAATTTAAATAATTAAAACCCTAATGTTTTGAAAAAAGGTTTCAAAACTTGCCCTCAAGTTTTGGAATTTAAAAGTTGATTAAAGGTTTAATTAGAAATGTTAAATTCTAAAACTCTAGTAATGTTTTGAAAAGTTCAAATCACACCCTTATGGTTTTATTAATTAGTTAAGGAGTATAATTAAAAGAGGTTTAATAAATCCATAAAAGTTTTGGTTAACCATTTAATTGGATTAAAAGTGTAATTGTTAAAGTTAACCATATAGTATTTTAAAAGTATAAAATACACCCTATACTATATATAACATTAAAGGTATAACATTATATATATGTATGAGTAAAAGTCAGTCTTACCGTTAGTAGGCCTCATTCGAAGTTGGTCTATAAGGGGTGTTTAAGGAAATTGCCTATAAAATGGCGATTGAATGGGTATCCACTCTTACCCACCGCACTCTTGACTAGTGGAGGGTCGTTAGCCGAACGGGTAGGATAGGACGAAACCTTCCATTATAAGTATAATGAAATACAGAGTAACTAAATGTTTCGCAAATTCCCAATCTTAGTTACTTAGGCAAAAGTGAATTGATGCAATTCCATGAAATTACACTTTGTGCCCTTGCGAAGACGTTAGTGGAGCGTGTGTGGTTTACCGGCACACTAAATGGTTCTAAGCAAAGGTAGCAAAGGGTGACTCAATGTTTGTCATAATTCGGTGGAGCGTGTGTGGTTTACCGGCACATCGAATAGGTGATTGTAACATGTGAGGGCACCATGTAGTTTGCATGGTTATTCACACCCGCTTTGTGATCCTCGACATCCCAGTCACAAACTAGAAGGGCATATCGAGATTTAAACATGCCATTGAAATGTTCAATGAATCTCAAAGGATCTAGGAGTTTTCATAGATTTAAAACTTAAATTTCTTTTTCGTTTTTCATGGTGGAAATTAGTGAATCGTCATTCACTTACCTTCAAATGTTCTGCAATTTGGGTTACGGCATCCCTCTCCCGAGTTGTAGAATATTGTGTTGGGTTCTAGCCTTGGAATTTCATTTGGGTGATTTACCAAGGACTCAATCAATCAACTAACTTGAATTCGTTTTCTCCCGATGTCAAAGTTCGACAACTATGGTCTTCTCAATTCCCGTGGAACAAGCATTCCACATGAAGATGATATTCCACGATTCGATCGAGGAACAAGAAATCATGCTTCACTTCCTCCTCCTCCTCCAATTATTCTCCCTAACCCACAAGATTGTAAAATTGAAAAGTTCAATATCACTCAAGCCCTTTTGGCAAGTAAACATAAAGAAGGAAAGTCGGTGTGTGCACACGTCCTAGGGATGAAGTCGCACATTGATAGACTAAGAATGATAGGATTTGTTGTCGGTGAGGAGATGGCTGTTGATTGGGTTCTTCAGTCACTTCCCAACTCATATAGTGAGTTCGTAAGAGAGTACTATATGATGAACCACGACGTGACCCCATAGATCTCACCTATATGCTTATTGCTGCTGAATCAGCAATGGTTTGGCGCAATAGAAAAACAAAGTTGATTGGTGAATCTGCCTTCGAGACCTCTATGGATATAGACAATGGCAATGAAAGACATGCAATGATCGAAAAGTTTGATCATAAGAGAAAGGCGATGTCTGAAGTAGTTCCATGTGTTGTTCCAAAAAGAGTCAATTTGCTTTTATTGCCAAGAGAAGGGGCATTGGAGATGAAGCTGCCCTATTTACCTAAGAGATCTAAGAGATGGGAGAGTCGAAACGTATGGCTCTAATTTAGGTAAAATCCATTGACTAACTCTTTTAAGCTTCATTCTAGATTCTGAATACATAATGTGATAAGATTACAATTGATGTTTAGAAGGATCGAAGAAAAGAAAAGAAGCTTAAGGGAAGAAGTGAGCAGAATCTAACCGTGAAGGAATGGATTTCGATTGCGTTTCTCGAAGATTAGATTCTTGAGCTACTACTTAGGGTTAGAATTAGATTGCTAAGAAAGATGTATTCGCATAAGTTTTTCAATGAGTTGCATTGTGAAGGACAAATTTTTCCGCAATAAAATAAATTTTGATTTTAAATTTTATTTATTTATCCTTACAATGGCGTGTATGAAAAAATTGATGTTAAAATTATTAGCAATAATGGATGTGTTTCTTATTGTGTTATGGAAAGTCAAGAGTTTACCAAATAGGGAGAGTTTCTCATCGCCCAAGTTTCAATTGGACAGAAACTTGGAAT